CCGATGGGCCTAGTCCCCCCACCCTGCTTGGCCAGCAGGAAGTACATCACGTAGCGCAGCTGGGGGGGCCACCTGGCCGCGCGCGACACGCACGCGACGAAGGCGGCCAGGAAGGCGAGCCCTTCGCCCCCCAAGCTGACGAACCACCTGGGGTGCCAGTTGTCCATCCCGACCCCCGTGTGCTCTGGGAAGGCCTTGCATATGGACCTGATGTCGTCCGCTGTCGGCTCGGCCATGCTATGCTCGAAAGTGGCCGACTCCCAGGGGCGTGGGAGCTCGCCTCGGCTCTGGGCGCCGCGGGAGGTCCAGAGGTCGATCCACTTCGGCGCCTCCAGGTCGACCGCGGCCTGAGGGCACGTCATGTCCAGATTGGTGCGCCCTCGGGCCCCGAGCGCAGGGTCGACCCCCTGGCGCCACTTCGACATGCGGTGGACGAAGCCTGCACCTCCTTGTGAGCCGTCCTTAAGCCTCTGGCGCCACGCCTTGGCCCTCTGGTCTCGGAGGCCCTGCTCGATGACGTGGGCCTGCTGCGTGGCCCGCCGCTGCAGCTCCATCGCCCTGGGGGCGTCCTCCCAGAGCGCGTCGCCGCCCCAGGTGAGGTCGCCCAGCGCGAGGAGCTCGGCGTGCACAGCCTTGGCGTCGTCGCCCAGCGCGTCGCACCAGCGGGCTGCCCCGTGGTGAAGGCGCCTGCGCAGGCGTCGCCACTGGTCGGCGCACGGCTGCCAGTCTCGCCGCTGACGGGCCGCCTGCGCCAGCCAGACGATGTCCCCGACGCGGCTGGCCACCCAGCGCCATGCCCTGGAGCGCGTGGTGCCCCTGGGCCTCGCATGCGCCTCTGGGCCTGCGATCGGGGCTCTGGCCCATCGGGGGTGACCCCCCCTGCCGGTGTAGTCGGCCTCGCCGACGAGGTCGTGGATGCCCTGCAGGTCATGCTCGGCCGCCGCCGAGAACCCAGCCCACAGCTCCTCCAGCTCGGCGTCGCTGTAGTTTGCGCCACTGTCGAGGATCGGCCATGCTGGAGGCTCCCGCCGACAGCCCACGGGGAAGCGAGTCGGGAAAGCCCGAGGCTTGACCAGCCTCCAGCCTAGCCGCTCCCGCAGTGGCCTCTCCGTCGTGATGGCGACGGGGCTGTGCGGGGCGGCGGGCGCGTCGAGCACCTCCGCCGCACCGAAGGCTGACGCGATACGCGTGTCCACCACGAAGTAGTCGATGACCCTCCCGCCTCCCTTGCCTTGGCAGGTGGGGGCGGCCGAGGAGAAGATGGTGCCCCCGACGTCGGCCACCCATCCCGTGGCCGTGAGCGTGTCTGGGGTGTTGTTGAAGTCGGCCTGGAGGACCCACGGGATGTCGTAGGCCCTCACTAGTTCGCCAATGGCGTCCAAGATGGACAGGTTGCGAACCGCCCAGCCCTCGGAGACCCAGAAGTAGGCGCTGAGGACCATGAGGCCTCCGCGAAGAAACCCAGGGGTCCAGGCCGCCACCAGCCTTCCTGGCGATCCTGGCGGCGAGAAGTCGAAGGTGTCCACGCCCTCGAGGTAGGTGAGGCCCACGCAGCGTGGGGCGACGATCCCCACCCCAGCCACTCTGCACTAATCTCGCCGACGTAGTCGCTGGTGAGGCGGTGCTCCTGAACCAGCATGATGGTGTTTCTGCCCAGCGGCATCTCGTCCAAGTGGTCGGCGAGGGTGCCCCAGGCGCTGCCGTTGAGACCTCTGAGCACCATGCCAGGCTTGGCGTGGCGCCCCTTGCCTCGCGATCTGGGCCTCCAGTATCCCTCTCCCCAGCTGGGCTGCATCGGCCACCCCCCCGTCGGGGGAGCCGAGCTGGGGGCGCTCGTGTCGAGAGGCGTCGACCACCCGCACGTCTGCGGCTCTCCGATCCACGAGCACATCGCTGGTGGCATCGACCACCCGCCTGTCGGCGGCACCAGCGAGAGGGGCGCATGGGGAGAGGCATCGGCCACCCGCGCATCCGCGGCTCTCCACTCATGCGCCACTGGGGCCTCTTCCGAGGCGTTTGTGGCCGTGTTCGAGGCTGAGCTGAGGTCCATGTCGGGCTTTGCTTTGCGCCCCTGGCCTCGCGGTCGGGATTCCCAGTATTCCTCTCCCCAGCTGGGCTGCGTCGGCCACCCCCCCGTCGGGGGAGCCGAGCTGGGGGCGCTCGTGTCGAGAGGCTTCGACCACCCGCACGTCTGCGGCTCTCCGTCCCACGAGCTCATCGCTGAAGGCGTCGACCACCCGCCTGTCGGCGGCATCAGCGAGAGGGGCGCATGGGGAGAGGCATCGACCACCCGCGCATCCGCGGCTCTCCTCTCATGCGTCACTGGATCCTCCTCCGAGGCATCAGTAGCCGTAGTCGAGGCTGAGCTGACACCCATGCCAGGCTTGGCGCGCCGCCCTCTGCCCCGCGACCGAGGCCTCCAGTAACCCTCTCCCCAGCTGGGGTTGCATCGGCCCCCCCTCGCCAGGGGAGCCGAGCTGGGGGCGCTCGTGTCGAGAGGCGTCGACCACCCGCACGTCTGCGGCTCTCCGTCCCACGAGCACATCGCTGACGGCTTCGACCACCCGCCTGTCGGCGGCATCAGCGAGAGGGGTGCATGGGGAGAGGCTTCGGCCACCCGCACATCTGCGGCTCTCCACACATGCGTCTCTGGGGCCTCTTCCGTGGCGTCCGTGGCTGTGCTCGAGGCTGAGCTGCAGTCCAGCCGTCGGAGCCACGGCGCGAGCTGCTGGCGGCGGAGCGTGTCCGCGCCCCTGAGCGCCCTCCGCGCCCAGGTACTCGAGGAGGAGCTGTCGCCGCCCCCGTCCAGGATGTCGAGGCCCTCCTCAATGGCTGGGGCGTGGACGCACGTCCCCACGATGAAGGCGACCCGCTTGGGCCCAGGCTGCCAGCGCCTGCCCGCCCTTCGGGGCAGCTCCTTCTGGTCGGGCGGAGGAGGCGCCCCCCCTTGTAGTGGTAGTGTTCGTAGAGGTTGTGGGGGTCTCCACGGCCCCGTCGATGTCGTGTGGAACGGCTGGCGCTCCTCGCCTTCGCGCGGCAGTCTTGCCCCGACCTCGGCGTGGGCGCTGACGCCACCGTCGCCAGCCTTGCGGGGCTGGTCCCTCAGGCTGCGCTGGGGTCTCCGTCCGCCGCTGGGGGCTTGACGGCATCCCGCTCCAGGATCCTGGTTCGGACGTCCTGTGCCAGCTCGCGCTTGGGGGCCCTGCCCGTGGCCCCCGCAGGAGCAGTGGTGCCTGCAACGCCGCCTCCGCTGGCTGCAGCAGCGTCGCGAGCACCGTCAGCGCCAGCAGGGGGCGGGGCTTGTGGCCCCGCTGTGGGGGCCGCCTTGGCCGCGGCCGCCCCTGGCTGCTTGTCGTCTGCGCCGCCTTTGCCTGCCGCCTTGCCTGCTGGCGCCGCTGAGGCGGGAGCTGCGGCGGCCTCTGGCGGGGGGGGGCTCCGACCGAGCCCTCTTGCTCTTGAGCCTGTCGCTGAAGGCCTTGAGGTCCGCTCGCATCGCGGCGAGCCCCTCCGCCGTTGGGCCGAAGTGCCCCTTGGCCTCCGTCTGGACCTGCTTGACGAATTGGCCCATCTGCTCCTCGAACTGGCGGTGCTCCTCAGGCGGGATGTCGAGCCCCTCGAGGTCGAACGCCTTGCCTGGCCGCTCGCTGAGGATGTCCAGGTCGCCCTCGAGCAGCTGCGAGAGGTCCAGGGCTGGCGTGGGCTCCTCCACTGGCGCGGCGGCCTTGGGCGCCGCTCGAGCGTAGGCCTCCTGGACCGCCGCCTCCGCGTCGGCGACCTCGAGGACCCAGTTCTCCCGCTGTTCCTTCTGGTCATGTAGCCACTGCTCGCCCTCGGAGATGCTGTCGATGGTCCTCTTGGGCCCTGCCTCGGTCCTGCGGAGCCGCGCTTGGGCCTGGTTGAGGGCGACGTCTGGGTGCACCTCTGGAAGTCTGCACGCGGGCGAGCGCCTCGAGGTGCTGGGCGGCCTCTGCGTCGCCGTCGGGGATGGTGGCCCGCAGCTGCTTGAGAAGCTCCTCGCGGTTCTGCTTGACCGATGGGCGACTGCGGCACCGCGTGGAGGCACCGCTGGGGCCCCAGGCGCCCTGCGGGGCTCGCTCTTGTGAAGTGGCTGGCTGCAGGCCCATCTTGCACTTGTAGCACATAGACCTGGTGACCCAGTTCCACTTATACCCACATCCCCTGCACTTCGCGTACTGGCTTCCAGTCTGCTGATTATCCTTCTCATTGCGCCCCATGCGCGGCCGTGAAGAACTGATCCCCTGCCCAACCAGTACAGTACAGGATCTCCCCGGAGCGTGACAAAATGTGAGGGCGCTTGCCTTGCCCAGCAGGCCCCTGATGCGCGGGCCGAGCCTGCTGGGCAGGCTCCTGGTCTCTGCAAACCACCTCGAGAAATGGTTTACTTGAGCCAACATGGCTTGAGCCAAAATGGCTTGAGCCAAAATGGCTACGGGAAGGAGGAGGAGGAGGAGGAGGGGGAGGGG